CAATAGATTCTTAGCAGTTTAAAAAGGGTTTCTCTCCCATCTCTGGGTCTGCTTCCTAATCCCTATGTACTGAGTTGCTTTCCCCCACTGGCACTAGCTAGCAAATGCTCACTCCTCATGGGTCTTTCTGTCCCACCTCCTTCACTGCTATTAGCCAACATACAGAGTCATTCACTTACTGAGTCCAGAAACATGAATCGCTTTCACATATTTCCTGATCCGCTGGAGAATGGCTTGGTCTCCATCCAAACTCTACAAAGAGAAAGAAAGAAAAAACACAGTGGTTTGATTGGGGAGGGATTGCCAGGCCACACAGAGGCCCTTTGAAGTTCTTATATTTGGCAGATGTGCAAGGCAGCTGCCAAGGTACCCAAAGCTGGAATGGACATATATCCCAGGATGGGGGAGAGATGGAAAACGTGCTTAAATTGCAAAGGGCAGAAAATGAGGAGTGGCTCCAGGCATAGTAATTTCTTTGATGTAGCTTGGTGGTAGAGCACACATTTTGCATACCATTAATCCCAGACAACTGTAGGCTCTGAGGTGATGGGTAGGCAACCTGTCCCCTTTAAGGGCCGAGGGACTTCAGCTCCCAGAAGCCTCAGTCATGTTGGCCAATAGTCCCATGTTGGCCAATAGCTCCTGGGATTCTGGGAGCTGAAGTCCCTCAGCCCTTAAAGGGGAAAGGTTTCCTACCCCTGTGATAGATGATGGGAAAGCCCTACCCTGTCTCATTTGAGAGCTGCTGCTGGTCAAAAATGAGAGTTCAGTAATGCCTTTATTAGGACCACTAACATGTCATAAAAGAGGCAAATTTTCAAGTTCTCCAGAAGTTTTCTCATCACTCTGGAAAGAAATGACTAGTGGGGTGCCTCAGGGTTGGTGTTGTTCAACTTATTTATAAATGACTTGGATGATGGAACATCTTTATCAAATTTATAGATGACACCAATGGAGGTATAATTAAATAATACCCCAATCAAGCCTACCATACTTCCACTCCAGACACAGAAAGGCATGTAAAGCAGTCTGTTTCAGGTAGCAGGGGCTTGCTCCCTATTTTTTTATGCTGCCTCTTTCCCAAAGAGGCAAC